TCGACGCGGATTGCGAAAATTGGCGAACGAATTGGAAGCGGCGAGAAATGGAACGTTTTTCGTGTTTTTTCGCGCGACGCCCGCCAATCGTCGCGCCATCGAAATATTTTCGAAATTCTTCGGACGCGTGCCGGCTCCGACAGGATTTTCGCAACACCGCGATGGCGACACGTCGTAAACGGTGGGCAACGAAAATTGCTAACGTATTCGCGGTATGCGTTTGCACGCCGCAAACAAGAATAGGACAGCGTCTGTTCGACGAAAACGATGGTTCCCAAAAGGCTGTGAATCAAAGTCGACGCGATCCCTCGTATAACGTCGATTATGGGCGATTTGTAGTCTCGAATGCACGGCTACTCGTATTTCTCGTGTACCTCGCGTCTAATATTACCGCGATCGATCGCACGCGACTGTCATTCATCCATGAACCTGGACACGGTCGATTTAAAAGTCGCACGTCGACTTTCGTCGATCACTTTGGCCATCGATGAACGTAACAGCGACGAATGTTAAAGTTTGGGAACCGCTGGACTAGAATGCAGCGACTCGTCTAAATATGCACATAGAGAACTCTGTTAGGCAATCGCGCGCGCCTTTCCTAGAGCTTCAATTACGCTGACAGTTGGCGATTTCGCTAGCTCCTTGAGTAAGGCGTTACAAAGGAATACCATACAACCGTACCAGCGCGATATAAGTTATTTGTATGTGATCGTGCGCGTGCATAAACTACATACCGGCGTTTGCAGCGGTTGCAACGTCGTCGCAGCAGTCGAGAGAATGGGAAACGTTCAATGAAGAAATAGGCGTTCGAGGAACTGGAACTGGACCTCTTGTCGCCGTTTTAAAAGGTTTATTACCAGCTCATCAGATTTGGCAATCGAGTTCGGCCGAACGATGCATCACTGTCACTGTCACTGTCACTTCGCCTCAATCCGCCTGTTTCCTTGCGCCGCGCACTCGTTACCAACCATCGAGCTCTCTCGCTGCTTCATCCAGCAACTTCTTGCTTCCTGACCCTTGGCCATTCAGTGAAGACGCCGGTCGTTGAACTTCAGCTACGTATTTGGGACGAGCCCTTCTCACCGAACATCACGCTCTGTGTATCGATATTAAAAATAAATCCTTGCCCCCCTTTTTCCATCCTCTCTTTCTTTCCTCTCCGTTCTTGCCTCGTTTCGAGGACGTAGATTTCACCGATCGAGCAATAATACAATTATTCTTCTATTTCGTTTTTAGTTTCGTTTGCACCTTGAATATCGCTTAAGCGACTGAACTATCCGCGCGCAGCCGGCACAAGTAACGTCTAGAACCGGCATTGGATTTCCAGTAGATCGTAACTGTTACGTCTTAACATACGCGGCTACTTACGCTTCACTTAATCTACGTTTACACGTAGATGACGCTTACATGTTCCCAAAATTCGAAACCTGCGCGACGATCCTGCCGTACGTAGACGCGCGTACCTTGCAGCTGGGTTCCGCGAAGCTCGTTCGAAATTCATGGAACCGTGCAAAAAATCTCGCCCGATTATCTCACAAGATCATCTATTTAACTCTTGGAAATATTCTACCACCAAAATTTACGGTACATCGTTTTTTAATCGTTTTGGTGTTGTACCTTATTTTTTCGTACGCGGTTTGCGGTATCGAGTCGAAAAGCTGTGACAGGCGGTAAAAATATATATCAACGAGTCAAACTTTTGACGCGCCGAAGCAGGAAGCTCTGCTGGCGTCCTAGCAATTTCGCTCGCTGCAAAAAAAAGAGACGAAGAGAAAAAGAAAAGAGAAGGAGAGAACGAGGATACCGGGACCCTAATTCACGATGCGGCTCCCAATTATATGCGTGTGCATTCTAACGCATAATGAAGAACCGGAAACGCCTTCCCCCTGCGTTCGTGATTCGAGCGAATTTTTGTGCACTCTATAGACGAGCCCCGTCGCTTAACCGCATACGTTCGAGTTAATAAATGAAACGTTACGGTCGTAACGAGCGCCGGATATCCGATCAACGTAAGCGTCCATTATAATAGCAACAATTGTAATAAGCTGGGGTAGTTTCGAGTTAGATAATCTTTCGACTTTCTACAAAATCGACAGAACACAATCGCGCGGCATCGTCAAGATCGCAAAGCCTTCGCTTCGGTATCGTCATTTAGCATCGTGGTCGCTACGGTTTTGTAATTAGGAAATAACGATGGCTCGATCAAAGTTCGATTTCAGCTGATTTCGTCGGCCAAACGACAATTGTCGAATTGTGATTTTATTTACGAAAGTGGAGAAAGTCAAATTTTAAGGAAATGGCGATACGCGTTCGAGTATCGTGGATATTGCTTTCGCAATTAGGAGATCGAGGTAGCCATTTGGTTCACAGCCAACTTCAGCTGTTTCGAGCTTTATTCGCCAAGGTGGAAAAGATCAAATTTTAAGGAAAAGGAACAAAATCGAGCAGTCCCTGTCTCGGTATCGTTGATGCTGTTTTTGTAATTAGAAGATCACTGTGGTTCGATCGAGGGGCAACTTTAGCCGGTTCGTCGGCCAGGTGATGGCCTGACTCGGACTTTATTCACGAAGGTGCAAAAAGTCCTGTAACCGCGTGCACCTTGAGGTAGCGGCGCAAGTTTCTACAAGTACGTATCGTGCATATTGCGCGTGATTGGCTGAATGCAGCCGGCGCGCGACATTAAACACGACCTCGTGCACTACAAAGCGGGTAGTGGAGCAACACAATCTGGCAAACATTCATCGGATAAGCATGAACGTTCGGCCCGAAGCCGGGTGATGCAAGACTGGTTATGAAATCGCTGAAACGGGGCCCATAGAGGCGCGCGCGATTTTTAGACTTGTTTGCAGATTTCGCGACACCGTTGCATAAATTACGCACATAACCGCGCTGATCGTTGTAAATTTGCGACGATGCCTAACTCCCGTTTCCATGCAACGATCGGCGTAGACGTTCGTTCCCGGCCAAACTTTACGCGAACGGAACAGGTTCGTGAATTTATTGGGAGATTCACTGATATCTCGACTTTCACCGAAAAGCTGCGCATCTCGGATTTGCCTGTGTTTCTTCTCTTTTTTCGTTCTCTACCATCGATTCCCGCGGCAAGTCGACGAATTTACCGCCTGTCGCGAAAACGCCAACCAGTTTCCTATAAATAAGGTTACGTGGAATGTTGCAACATTCGACGCAACGGAATGTTTACGAAAATTGATATTTCGTCGTGTGCTTCCTTTGCGATCGAGCACTTGCATTATCGAACGGTTTTTAACGGCATACGACGCGAATCCGTTTCCTCGCGAATTTCGTGAATCATTTTTCTCCATCGTATCTGCTCTTTCCTTTTTCTTTGAACGAACGAGCGAAAAAATGAGGGAACGAGACAGGGACAGCGTCAAAGAGGGAGAAACACAGAGAAAGAGAGAGAGACAGAGAGAGAAAATGAGAGATGGAATAGCAAGAATGAAAAATAGGATAAAAACACCGATGGAAAAACGAGCACCACATCACGGCATAAGTTAACCCGCCAAATCGTGTACACAGCTTGTTAAATTCACGGACGATGAAAATCTGCCTTCTATATCGCGTATAAAAATCGATGTTCACGGTTAAACGTTTTAAATTTGTTTCACGCCAGACGCTTTTTAATCCAATCGAGTTTTTCGCGGTCGTGTTTTTATTTTCACGCCACGCGAGATCATCTTCCTTTTTTTTCACCTCTCGCTTTTCAGCTTTTTTCCCCGGCTTTTTTGCTTTATTTCTTCACCACCGATCAGCGGTGAAATCGGACGAAAAACATTTTCCGCAGGATGACTATTCCGAAGTCGATTTCGATCGATCGGCCGCGGCTGACCGCGATTATGTGATTGGACAGTGCGTGGGAACCCCTCTTCCCGGACGTAAGTGACTGCATAATGGACGATTATTATGCGCATCCTTGCAAATTTCGTCAGAAACGTTTGTTAAACGTGGCCGTAACGCGTATCGCGCGGCCTACGCGCCGTGCAAACAAACCGACGGATATATTTCGGCTTAATAATACGATGCGGTAGATGTAAGATAGTTATAATTAGGTGTGTACTCGGTCTAGCAACGTGCGAGCTTACCCATGTGAACTTCCTTTACGCAGTTTTCGGCCATACCCGAAACGTTAAGCCGTTGTCGGGACTCACCGACTATTCTTCGCTTCGTTGAACATTCTTACGACCGGCAACGTACCCTATCGACCGCCGCAAACTTTCTCCGCGTCTATGCCGTGGTACGCGTTCAGCGAGAGTATCTTTCAATTCATTGATGTTGAGTAAAGATATTCGAGTCAGCGGGATATCATGGACAAGATAAATTTGCCTTACGATCTGTTGAATTTGATTAGAAGCTAGTTTAGAACAATCTGTGTTCGATATATTTGAAAATAGATTATTTGATAGATTGTAAGCGACGGCGATGTTCCTTTACGTAATGTTGTTCCAGTCATCTTCTCTATTGCCACGCAGTAATAGAATTATAAATCCGACGGATTTGCTACATTGCTTCGAGAAATGTCAAATGGCCAACCGCTGCCTTCCACAGCTGCGGCCCGAATGACTAAAAAGTTGTAGGAAATATATTTTTAGAAATTAATACGTTTCCAAGATCTACGTTCTTTATGACTTTATTACGCGCGAGTTGTTAGCTGGACACGCGGACGTCGCGCGCGTCAACTCGGGTTAATCGCTACCTGAGAAAGAGCGGTAGACAGCAGCGGTTAGCTTCCATTCCCCCAATTTTTCTGTAATTAACTTTTAATTATCTCTATAGTCTAGTTTTTTCCCGCCACCTCTTCGCAAACTTGAAAATTCTGCAATTCAAGTGTTAGCCCTATCCCTCGATTTTTCACCGGTCTTGGAAAATCCAAATCTGAAGGTACGTTTTCACGTGGCTGTAAATCGTCACTTTTACGCTACATGTCACGACTTTTGTCGTCGTAAAAACTAAAGTCGCGTTGCCGTAGCTTCGTCTTACAGTGTCACGACAACGAAAGCTGTGATTTTTATCGTCGCGTGAAAATGTGCCTTTACGCAGAGGCTTGTCAGTCTATAGTCTGTCGTCTACAGTCTATCGATCTTATTAGAAGCAATCAATAGCCAGCAGAAATAAATACGTTAATCTGAAATAATCGTCACTGTCTCGTAAGCGAATTCACGAATCGAACTCGACGAAGTCCACGCCCTAACTAGCTCGCGAACCACCCCGTTAAGTCACGATTGCGACGCGCAAACATTCTCGTCTTCGATATTTTTCCTCATTGGGCTTAAAGTGCGCTAGATTTTCTCACTCTTTCATCGTTGTATCAAAGACAGTAGCGCGTAATATAATAATGCGATATAAGTGGTACAACGAGCTTGATTATTCCGTGTAAAGCTTAAAATTAGACCTTAAGATATTGAAAATTTGATCAGCTGAGTAATCTTATTCAATTCTATTTATAGACGTTAAATTTTTGTAGTCATATCTCCGCCCCTCGAACGATAAGAATACAACGCTGGCTAAGCGAATTCCGTCTATGGTGAAGAAATAATTCAACTTTACCTCGACGAATAAAATATAAGCCGGAACTCCCGCGCGGGAAATCCGAACGAGTGTTACGCGTGCCTAGCAACTAACCTGTGTCGCAGCAAGTCACGGATGCATGGAATTTTTCAATAGACATAGCAAAGGGAAGTTCTATGCATCCGCGAGTAACGTCCCAGGATGAAAGGGGATCCTGGAATTTCCCATGTGTCGCACGGTGGTCGACGTTCCGCGTTTCCGCGCTTATAACGCCGACCGAGTTGCCACTTTGGACCGATCCTTTCGTCCAAGAACGGTCCGGACATTAATTACCTCTGGTCGTGTGCGTAAAGGCGATCAACGACCGTGCTTTCGATCCTCTCTCGAAGCGTTCTCGTGGTTTCTCACGTGAGTATCGTAGCGTGCTGAAATGAGACGGAACGGACGCGAAACGTAGCAGAAATCGAGATTCGATCTCCAGAGACTTAAAAACGCCAAAGGATAGAACTTAATAGGATCTTGGTTGGAAAACAGAATTTTACCCGGAACCTGATGCTATTTTAAGCCGACCGGTGTTGCAATTAAATTCTCAGCGCGATACACAGAGTGCACGGAGAAACGCATCGGTCAAGGTAAACAGGGGCGTTTTATTATTTGCGCGGCTACTTTGTTTGCGAAAATTACGTATTCGCGCGATGATCATTGTAGCACCGTTACGTAGTCCCCGGGGGTGGCGGATGTAGCCTAGAGGGGGATGAGAGAAGGCGGGGTTATGGGGCAAGAGATGAGGCGAGCCGCGGCAGCTCGGGGACGGGGATGGTTGCGCGCGAGATCTCTGTTATTTTAACGTTTTTGCGAGGTCGAATGGACAGGTACCGTGCTAACCAATTCGTTTGCTGGCAACGTTATAGTTTTGTTCGAGTGGGCGGATGGGGCGGGGGCAGATCGAAGTGTTATTAATGCTGGTACGCGCGGCGGGAGGCAAACAAAAATAATTAATATTTATCATTCACGATTTCCGCGTGCACGTCCAATCGGAACGCAATATTCCCTGGAGCGGACGCGCTAATGCAAACGCGCCGCGGTACCATCGAAAATTTCGTTCCGTAGACCATCCGCGTTAATTCGATAATGCTGATCACGCTCGACGGCGGATGGCTCGCACATTTATTTCGACGCTCGCGCACTCCTCTTTTTTGATAAAATTGCAAAAATATAATGCGCCCGGCTCGTCGATAACGCGCCACCCGCCGAAACGAGATACAGATCCGGCCACCCCTTTCCCTCCTCGCC